CTCTTCACCTCTCGTAAACGCAAGACACTTATACCACGCCTACTTTATAGCTTTCCAGAGATGAGAATAGGTATATTCTTTTTGGGTGCCCTTTCTCATTTGGAACCTTCATTGCTGCCCAACTGTCGGCACTGACAGTTGATAACGTGAGCTGACGTCATCTTACAATTATGAGAGGGTACCGCCCTTCAAGCGCTTGAAATATTGAGTCTTCGTATTCCAAATATTGCAATAACGAGACACGACTGTATTTTGCTTCAATCACAAAAGCAGCAAGCAAACGCAGTACTTATTAACCCTAGAAGGAGTACGTGAATTTACTCACTCTCTAAGGAGCAACTGGGGTGTCCAGACACCTCAAACTTTAATCTTGTTTTATAAGGTTTCTATTCGGCGTAAAGTCAACTATGGGTAGTGAATTATATTGGTTTTTTAGTAAGAAACACAATGATATTATTCAAATTTTGATAAATTTAAAGAATTTAAAAAAACAAGAAAATACCAAAAAATTGCAAAATTGACTTTTTTTACAAAAAACGAAGTTTCTTAAAAATTTGACTAATTTAAAAAATATTTTAGATTCTTATAGTTCAATAGATACACTTTTAGGAAAAATATTAGTTTTTGTATTGCTTAAAAAACATAATTATTTGAACAACTGAAGTGAAAGAAATTAAAGAGAATTGTCGAATAGTGAAAATCATAAAAATTAACCATAAAATAGACTTTAACAATTAATATTTATTAAAAATGGTATTATGAATTTAAAATTTTACAAACTTAATATATCTGAATATATTAACAATAAAATTTATAACTTATGAATTGATTCTGTAAATCAATATTTAATCAAAGTTTTAATTAACAATTTTAAATATATCTAATATATGTTAAAACATTATTAACAACATAGAATTTATAATTTAAATTTGACTGTCATGTACGACATTTTTTTTGTTTTAGAATTTAATCTCTGACTGTAGAGAGAGCTCAGAATTTTTTAATAAGTAGTTAGAAATACAAAATGTCTACTTTTCATAAAAATAGAATTTTTGTATGAAAATGTTTCTTTTTTATGAAATACAACTTTTTCATTTATAACCCAACAACTTATACTTTATCAGATGATTTTAACTGATTGAAAACTATTTTTAAAAAAATTTAAATTTACTTGTCTCAATAATTTTTATAAAGTTAGGGAGTAACTGGGGTGTCCAGACACCCCATTTACTCCTTCTAGTGTTAAAATTGATGTAGTACGGTTGTAAAGATTCAAGAGGTCTTTTGGTATTACCCATTTGAGGCTCCAGATCTTAAAAGGGCACATGTTGCATTGATTTTAAATGGTATATGTGCCCTTTTAAGATCATCACTGTGGTAAAATTAGGATCTAAAACTGTTCCTCAGTAAAGCGGGATTCGACACTGTAAAGTTCGCCAGTGTCGCACAACCCGACTGTATTTTTAAATCAGTAATATCATAAACCTTCCTTAGCCTGTGTAGAAAAATTGTTGGGTCCTGGTAATGAGCTAGAAAGATTGTCTACTCGCTAACGGGGCGCTGAAAGGACTGTCTGATCATGGGCTAATCAGATCAGTGACGATCGAACCACGCGTTAGTCCAAACTAGACGGTCTAATCAGGTCTAATTAGCAGTGCTAATATTAAAATTTTAGGTTCAGTTTCAATATGTCAATGTTTTAATTTTAAATAATTTACCCAAATTTACTCATTTCTCACGTTTATTAAATGTAATGTGAATGCATGAATTATTAATAATAATAAATATTATTGTTATTATTTTTATTCATATAATGTGTGTACATATATTTAATGACAATAAGTTATTATTATAATGACAGATTATCTCAGTCGGATAGATGCCTCGCTTGGCGGACGTTTTAGAACTAAGGGTACTTGGTTCGCGTATAATGATATGCACCCATGTAGAAAATTCCCAACGTGTCCCTATCAAATCTTGGATTCTGATTAGAATCACACTAGAAAATCTAGTTTGGAAAAATCTAACTTGAACCTGTTTAGATTCTTGTGAGGAAATTCGGACTAGAAATATCTAGCTAGATTACGCATAAAATCTAGAGAGGTCATTCAGATTAGAAATCACTGATTAGTTCCTTGCTAAATTCTAGTCGAAGATGCCCGGAATCGGACTTATATTATTTTTCAGTGTTTTTTAATCTTTTTTGTTCTGATTTTTTAATTAAATTATAGAATTTTTTGTTAATTTAAAAATTGACCTTAAGTACACGGAAATAGTAAGTAATAATAATTAAAGATGAACCTTTGTCAAAAAATGATTAATTAATATAGAATATAAATTTATAACGATTCTCAGAAGCGCGGAAAAAAGTGAGAAGTTAGTATATAAGAGCGTTTCGGAATACGTGTGGTATCGCGTCGGTAATGCAGTGTGCCATCACTTTTTCAATCATATCTCGGAAATAAAAGGAGGTACAAAAAAAATTAAATACGGTTAGAAAGCTGATTAAATTCTGCGTAAAATAAGCCATCTTTGAAGTCATTTCCTTAATTATTTTTTAAGTTGTAGAGTGAGAAAGAAATAAAAAAAATTATCAAATTTTCTCATTTTTGTCTCTTGACTTCAATTTTTCAAAAATCTAGAAAAATTTAGATAAAATTTTTCTAAAAACACAGAAATCTTCGTTAGAATTTCAGCTTCAAAATAAGCCTTCGAAAATTAAAAAAAGTTAATCCGTCTTCGATATATCATTAAAAATGTGAAGCAGTGTTTCGACCTCTTGGTGCATTGAAATTCAACTGTGACGACTCGGTTCTGGCTTCGCGCGGCAGCGAAAGAGAGAAAACAGGGACGAATTTTGGCTGGAGAATAATAAATAATTATGTTTCACGAGTAATATAAAGAAACTCAATAGTTCATCGTTCCCCCGCATGAATTCGTTCCTGTTTTCTCTCTCATTCGCTGCCGCGCGAAGCCACAATCGAGTCGTCACAGATGAATTTCAATGCACCAATCGGTCGAAACACGGCTTCACATTTTTAATGATATATCAAAGACGATTAACCTTTTTTAATTTTTTTCTTTCTTACTCTACAACTTAAAAAATAATAACGAAATGACTTCAAAAACGGCTTATTTTACGCAGAATTTAATCAGCTTTCTAACCGTATTTAAGTTTTTTTTGTACCTCCTTTTATTTCCGAAATGTGATTGAAAAAGTGATGGCATGTTTTTTTATAGAGTCGAATGTAATCGTCCTGATAATTTTGGACGGTAGTGTAATTAATACTAATAACAAATCTCTAAAAGGATTCATTTATTTTACACTTGTGGGGTACTTGCTAGTTCCCGACTAGAAATTCTAAACTAGTACCCGATCTGACGACCGTTATAAAAGTAGTTGGGTTCCAACTATTTTTCCTAATCAGTTCCCCACTACAGATAAGGACTTCTGACTAGAACCTCATCAAACTCCAATCTTAATTTCTACATAGGCACTGACGATTATTGTCCGGTACACACCTTTTAGAACTCGGCTGTCGATAAATCGATTGTACTCGGAGAGGTCTTCTACAGTTTCTCTCTCCACTGGCGAGAAAACCCATTAGACGGGTGGTCCAGGCAGATGCGAGTACTCCTAATTTTCAAGTCGCTCTGTAGGCGCAAAAATTTAGTAATGTCAAGATTACAAAAAACAAATAAACAAAACAAATAAAACAAATAAAAAAACAAATAAAAACAAATAAAAAAAAATAATAATAAAAAAAATAAAAAAAAAATAATAATAATAATAGAAACAAATAAATAAAATAACTATTATATTATTTTTATAATATAATTATAATAATCATTACACAAGTTTTTTAAGTATTACTTTTAATTTTATTTGTCTATAAAATTGTATATAAGAATTCAATTTAAATTGAATTCTTATACATAATTTTATCAACAAATTTTTAAATAATGCACTATCTTTGTCCCAGCTGGGGCAAGGATAGTTAAAAGAAACCGAATGCTAAAAATGTTAACGAAAATCAGTAGGGGAGACTAGGTCTAAACCGGACGGATTTGATCTTTGACCAGAAAACTCATACAAAAAATATTTTTTGCTAAAGAGTAATATACCTTTTTAAAGAATGTTCTCTCACCTACAAATCGCAATTGTTCGATTTTAAAAAACTACAGTAGCTTTGATGATATATTGCTTCGAAGGTGACTACGTCAAAAACGAAAATCTCAAAACTGGTAGGGCTAAACCGAACACCGCTAATTAATTAAGGAATGAGACACAAATTTTCGTTTTTTATGTAGAAAATTCAAAGAAATTCTTTGTTTATTTAATTGTAGGTCCATATAAAGGATATAATATACAATATAAAATAGGTGATTAATATAATACTTTAATTTAAATATATTTCCATAGATTTGTTACTCAAATAAAAATAAAAAACAAATTATATTTTTAAGCTTTATTTAAATTATTTTTTAATATATGACGCAATATTATTACAATTAAAATTTGAATTTGACGAAGAAATAAATTTATTTTGTTCACTTGAACGATCAAATTTGGAACACACTGTCTTCGTAGGGAACTTGTTATAATCCTCAAAAAAATATGCTTGTCAATATCCGAGCGTGACAGAAAATCCCGAGGCCCTTCTAGTTCCTTGCATTTTCCCTTATCAGATTCATGTAGGTAAAAGGGACATCTGACCAGATCCATACGAAAATCTTTCTAAAATTTATACAAGGGGTGTTTTTTTTAAATTTCGAACGTTTTATTATTTGACCAAGATACTACTTGATGAACGGGGGTTTTATATATTTATCTTTCCTGTGGAGGAAATGTGTGACGATGTTTTAAGGAAAATTGAGATGCGAAATTAAATTTTATTTTAAAAAAACAGTGGTATGTTTAAGCAAAGTTTTTCTTAAATGTTTGAGTATTTTTGAAAATATTGTGAAAATTTTATAATAAAAAAGTTAATAAATATTACCAGAGGAAGAAGGGTAGCCAACAGGCGAGGAAAGCAGACATGATGATACCTAATGTCCTTGCAGCCTTTCTCTCTCTCTTCATTTTACTACTACTGGTTATCGGAGGCTCTTCCGGTAGAGTTTCCGGGCACGATTGCCCAACGGATGGCAACCCTGCTAATCCCGCTGATATTCCGTTGATTTGCAGATGTTTATTTAGTAAAGCTGCTGCAACTTTGCTTCTGAAACAGTAAAAATTTTTCTTTCATTAATATAAATTAACTGTCGAGGGAATTTTCTTTTCAAAAATTGATATTTGAAGCGTGTTACAATATTGTTTTTAAATTATTTTGGTCAGAAAGCGTATTTTTATTATCTAGCTGTAATTCTATAAATTTGATATTTTGCCAATACTTTTGCTAAAATTATCTGATATTCCCTGATTTCCCTCACCATTTTTATTTTCCCTGACTTTTGCCTGATTTATATAATATAAAATTTTAAAATTCGCGTGTTTGGCGAATAGAGTAGGACATAGCTCAGCAAACACGTTAAGCAAATATTTCATAACAATGAGGTCACAGAGTTGTAGAACATCTGTTCCAAACTAGTTATAGATCTGTTATATAACCTTATTGTAACAGAGTTCTAAAACATAGTTACATGTTAGTTACAGAATAGTTCTTTATGCTTATGTCACAGTTCTATAACAATGTTACGTAACATTTTTATAGTACCAGAGTCACAAATAATATACATATATATAATTATTAATTACAATTTTTATTTCTTTTTTTATTCATATTTTTAATACTGCTTTCTTATAGTCAGTATAACCCCGTGTAGAAAAATTGTTGGGCTCTAGTAAGGAGCTAGAAAGACCGTCTATTCGCTAACAGGGAGCTGAAGAGACCGTCTGATCATGAGCTAATCAGATCAGTGACGATCGAACCACGCGTTGGTCCAGACTGAACGAGCTAATCAGGTCTAATTAGCAGTGCTAAAATTAAAAATTTTAGGTTCGATTTCAATATTTTAATTTTAAATAATAATAATAAAAGCAAAATTTTTTCTGAATACTTATTTATTTTTGAATTTTTATTCAATTTGTTTATAAAAAAATATCACAATTATTATATAATAATTTTTATTATGAGTATATTATTTTTCATATCTTTTTATTTTCTATATTTCTTTTAACTTATTTAAAATAACATTTAATAGTGGTCCTCTTCATCCACATTAATTGGATCTTTCATACTTTTTGTTGGGTTTTTAGTCCTCAATGCCCTGTACCCCTCCGAGTCTTTGGCATTTGAAATAGTTGAACCCAAATCTTTCAAAAATGTTGATTCACTGACTGGACTGTGCTTATGTATTACAGCTGAAATAAAAAATAAATATTAAAAGTTTACGAAGAAAAGAATTAAATAAAATGTAATGGATTTATTTCGGAAAAAATAGTACCTTGCATTGATTTGCAAAAACGTGTTTTGTTAAAAACTAAGGCCTTTTTTTCTGTTTTTTTTGCGCCGTAAACAACATAATAACCCCCCTGGAAATATACTTTTGAAGCATATTTTTCATGCTTCTGGTTAAAATGTTGTCAAGATTAATTAACGGCTGCAGAGTTTGTTTCTGAAAATGAAATTGATAATTTAACAATAACTAGAAAAAATTCATTACTATTGTTTAAATTTTCAAAAATTTTAATATAATTCTTCGCAAGAATTTAATTATTTTTTTTAAATAATAACATTCTTTAGAAGAATTAAATTATTTTTATACATAGTAAAATTTGTTACAAAAATTTAATTATTTCCAATAAAATTTCACGAAAGATTTCATTAATTTTCTAAAACTTTAATAAATCCTTCGAAATAATTAAAAATATTTTTGAAGTGGTAAAATCTTTGAAAAAATTCAATTTATTAAAATAAAATAATAATAACAATAATGATAATAAAATTTCAATAAGAGTCATTCAATTTTTTTTTTAATTCGTTATAAAATTTTTTCAAAAAAAATTTCTAAAAAAAAATTTCTATAATTTTAATAAATTCTTCGAAACATTTAAATTATTGTTTTAAGAAGTTTGTCTGAATTAATTATTTTCAAAATGTCCACTTAAAATTATTCAAAAAACTACATTATTTTAAAAAAACTTTATGAAACTTTTGAAAGAATTGAATTATTGTCAAAATCGTTGATAGTATCATTTGCTCGAAAGAATTTAATTATTTTATATATTGTAATAAAATTCCTTGAATTGAATTAAATTGAGCTCCCGCGGGCAATAACTCGATCTGCGCTCGGACGCAAGCGCTAGTACCAGTCGGGAAGCAGTGAGCGCCTCTGCGCCATTCACTGCCACCCGACTGGTATTAGAGAGTGCGTCCGAGCGCAGATCGAGTTATTGCCCGCGAGAGCTCAATTATTTTCAAAAATCATAAAAAATGATAAGAATTAAATTATTTTCTAAAAATTTTAATAAAATTCAATAATGACATTTAAATTTCAGTTATTAAGAAACACGATTATTTTAACAACTTGAAAGAAATCGTTCATAAAATTCAATTACTTTGAAAATTATGAATTAACATTGTTACAGAAACTCCATTATTTTAAAATAATTGAAAGAAATTTTACAAAGAATTTAATTAGGATTTTTAAACAAATTCTTCGCAAAAATTAATTTATTTTTATAAATAATAAAATTATATGCGAGAAGTCAAAGATTTTCAATACATTAAATTTTAAATTGTAAATATTTAAAAAGTTAGGAATCAAAAATTAATTAAAAATAAATTAATAAAAAATGATTATACGGCTTACAAACAATGTTCTCATGGTTCGATCTGACTCTAAAAGGTTATCAAAACTTTGGAATTCTTCGACGGTTTGGAAAGGCGCATTTAAATCATATTGATCAATAAAATCATTTAAATGCAATACCGAGGAATTTCAAATCTCCTCTTTTTCTTTCAGCAAAACACAGCAGTGGGAGACTTCCCTCGCTAAATTTTTTTGCTGAACATTTAGGAGGTATATAGCATCCAATATTCTTTTGAAAATTAAAAGGTGATTTTCTGAGAATAAAATAAAAATAAAAAATAAATTCAAACTAAACAGCGATTAAAAACTTAACTATTAAAGTAAAAATAATTTAAATGTGGGATTAATTTTAACATAATTTAATTTAAAAATTTAACTCAAAGTTTTGTTTTGCAGAATTGTAGGTTGATTAAAATGGAAAGGAATGAATATTAACATTTACATACCCATTTCTTCCTCCGTAAACGACGGATTAAAAGTATTTCTATTTTCAGTTTCTCCCTTCTTTTTGTTGATTGCATCAGGAAGATGAGAATAATCGAATTCATATACCGAATCTGGTATATCACCTTCATTTCTTTTTTCATCACTGATTCCTTAAAAAACCAATTGTCCTTCACAAACTGAAATTGGTGAAAAGATTTAAATTGTTAAATTATTTAAATATAAATTTTTAAAAATTATAACATTTAAAAGATTGCAATAATAATAAATTATAAATTTAATTTACTTTCATATTCATGAACTAAATGATTTGGGACTCATATTCGAGACAGTTTTCTCTGGGTTATGATTTGTATCATAACTTTCATTAATATGTCGCTTCTCCAAAGGTTGGGTTTCATAACCTTTACGTTCCTCACAGTTTTCGCCTATAATAAAAATAATATAAATATACTATATTATATAATAAATATAATATAAATATAATATAATTATAAATAATTTACCTTTATCAACATGAACCACTGACTTTGCATTATCATTAATCAAGTCGTAATTGTCAATTTTTCTTCGTTTTTCAGCAAGTTTCGATTTATCATCACATTTTCGTTTTTTATCGTTTCTACCTGTAAGCAATATTTTTCAAGTTAAATTTAAGACCGAACTATTTTTAAAACAATTATACTCACCGTTGTCGTTAGAAAATGTAGTCAACATTTCCGCCTCATCCAATAATTTGTCTTCATAACTGTAGTCAACATTCTTTCTAGTTCGGTAGATTTTAGAGTATTTGAGAGATTGTTCTTCTTTGGTAATTGCATCGTCAGTCGTATAGACATACTCTTTTCTTGTTGCCAAATCTTTGACTTTAACTTTAGCCTGTTGATAGGTCACTATTTTAAAAATAAAACAACTATTAATTAGTACTATTTTTTATTAATTATGATGCATTTTTAATTTATTTTAATTAATTATAATTGTATATATTATATGTTTTAATATAAATAAGAAGTTATCATTATATATATTATATATTATTACACATAACTAATAAAGTTTTTAAAAATAAAAAATAGGTTTTACATTTAAATATGAAAAAATTTACCTGCATGTCCTCGTAAATCCACTTTATACTTTGGTCACAAGGCCAAAGGCGGGGAACAATTTCGTTCCAATTTTCTGAATTCATTTATTGCTTGTTTGTCGTATGGTGGAGGAGGGTAGCGGGTTAGCAACCCATAATATTTATCATGTTCTATCCACTGGCGTGGTACAAAATCGACACTTTTTGTTGAAGAGTCTTCTAGAAACTCATCGAATTCATGATTCCAGAGACCGCCTGACTACTTTTTCTTTGGTTATAAATAATAATAATTCATGATTATTCACACGTGTCGAGAATATATCACTTCGAAAGATGCAATTAAAAAGGTTAGGTAATTGAGGAATGGTCAATCACGCAGGTATCAAATCATGTGACATTGCGCATGTTAAGTGGTTTCTAAAACGCGCGCACTAATTTGAAAAATGTATTCAATAAATTTTTTAAGGAATTAGAATTTATGCAGCGCACAAGTTTGAAACTATGTATTTAAAAAAAATGTTTCAATAAAATTTATAAAATATTTTAATACATTATACAAAATAAACATAACAGGAAATATGTAAATTCTTTATCAATTACTGTACAAACAATTTTTTTATTATTTTATGTTACTAATGAAGAAGAGGCATACAGTGCATTCGTTCTGTACCATTCCCAGTAGTGTCCACTGGCAACTGAACCATTTTTTATAAATGTCGTATACGGAGCAGGTCGTGGTATTTTTACTGGGATCTTTTTTCAGCCGTCACATATTAATAATACTTGAATTGAATGGGTAATTAAAAATACCACCATCCTTCTCCCATATTCTCCCTGACAAAATAATATTTCTATAATTTCCGTACACTTTTCCACTTT